CACCTCGTTTTAGCAGTAACTTTTTGCCACGCAAAATTTTGTATAACGCATTGTGGCTTCCAGCTATGTTATTTCCAAACTGATACGATATTGTAACCTTTAGAAAAACAACTATTCCTTCTTAAAAGGCCGGCAACTTTGCAATTGCTCTGGTGTTGCGGGTGCTTATGGGCGATGGCAGTTGCCATTAGGTGAGCCGCAAGCTTGCTTGTTCCCTATGCTAAAGTCAACAGGGGATCCAGAGGTGGATCATGAGGGTCATGACCCCCCCCCCCCTCTCTGAGCTGGTTCCAGGACTTAGGTAGACCACTAATTGAACATAATGATTTTATTTATATATTTTGTCACCATACATATTTTATGTAACTACATACCTTCAATATTTAATTAATTTAATATAATATAATAACTTTGTACATTATTAAAATACCTACTTTTTACTTGTATCTATTGTTATCAAAATTAAATTATAAGTTTATTGACTTGACCACGACTATGTGACCCCCTTCTGGCGCCAAACCTGGATCCGCCCTTGTCTAAAATAAAATAAAATACAGACAGATGAACTTTTACATTTGTAATATTAGTATGGACTAGCATGTACATATACATAATAATTGCTAACAGTATTGCAACGTTTCAGTGTCGTAAATAGAGGATTACGTATTGTAACGAATCGGTTTACTTGGTTTCATTACAGCAATTGTTAAATTTATTCCGCTGTTCAGATCACAATAAATACAGTTTTGCGAGCACTTTTGTCGAACTTATTTGGAAATTTACGATTGGAATTTAGGAAATAGGTCATATTTTTACGAAAATATGTATGCATTTATAATCTGTTACGCTGAGCACAACGACAAATACATTACATTATATTATAACATACTAGCTATGACTGCGGTTGCCCGCATTCTGAAGTATAAGTTATATTACTGTAAAGTTTCATCAAAATTCGTTCAGTACTTTTTGCGTGAAAGAGTAACAAACATCTATCCATACTCACAAACTTTCATGTTTATAATATTATTGATAATAAGATTATAGTATATTATATTTAATTTAATATATGAAATATCATGTCAGAGTGTTTGTCATTGAAGTTCTGTGAAATGGAATCTCTTATTTTTTATTTATTTTTGGTGTATGTATGAAAATAATTCTAGTCTAAGTTTTTTATACATTGTTGGCAGACAAGCATACAGAGAACTCCCCATGCAGGAATTTTCTTTACTGCAAAAATGTTACATCGCAAAATAACCTTTGCTTTGTATATTATAACTTGTAATATATTTCAAAGCTACCAAGATCAACAAGAAAATATGAAATCAAAACACACAAATTCAATTTAAATCAATAATAAAACAAAATATAATAGATGCAGTTAAAAACACAATATATGTAGCCGACCAGGTCAAATGTGAGTATTTAATTAATCTGCGATGCGACACACGGCTGGCGCGCATGTAATTTATATGCGAGAACAGTGCGCACGCGCAAACGAATATTCTATTTACTCCATTGTACTGCCTACGCGCACCCACACATCGCCAATAAATATGCCATAATTACATGTGTAAGGAATTTGCCTTTTGTGTAATTTGTATACTAAATTTATAATGCAAATTTAACATCGCCAGATGAAGGATAACATTTGTTTATTAACTGTTTTTTTGACGCGGTAATTATTTATACATTTTATTGTATTATATAATTTGGAAAAATCAGATCTTACCACGTTTTATTCATTTTTATTGAGTTCCCGATATTTCGGCTGTGCATCGCCATGATCACAGGCAAACTGAATCCCTCGGATCGATCCCCCCTCCAATTCAAACGGGGTTCGAACGACGGCCTGAGCCGACGTTCGAATCCCTAGCGGTGCCCTCAGACTAAAGTCATATGGGTCAGACGGGAGTTGGCCTTTAGCCGTTGTATAAGTCCTTCCGCGGGTTTGAAGTGCCATCTGCACTCGCCCCCTATCATCCAGTGAAGCTGTAAAGGCCAGCCGCAGCCAACAGCATTAGAATAGTTCGAAAAAGAAAATTGAAGAGCAGCGGGTAGATGGTAAATAAAATTATGGACAGATATTTGTCTATCACGATCTTTATAATATTAGTTCAGATATAGAGAGGTGCATCTGTTTACCACTATATGTATATTACACTTGAATGAACTGCCTGCCGAGGTTTTCTCACGAGACTACAGCATGGGATTTTCATGTGAGAAGAGTATATTAAGATTTCTTAAGGATCGGCAACGCGCACCTGTCACCCCTGGTGTTTTAGGCATCCATAAGCTATGGTAACCATTTACCATCAGTTTGACCCCATAATAGTATAAATATATATATTGTTAGGGAAACTACGCTCTGATACCAAAATGTTAGGGAAAATACTATGTATATATATATAGGGAAAAATATGTGGAAGCGTCAGTCACGTACCTGTATGGTTCTGCGGATTTCTTGGGCTTCAGGGTCTCGAAGATATCTTCGCTAGCTTTCCAGTTTTACAGTAGGTTTCACAGTAGGTTTAACACAGTTCTAATTTATTTTAATTCACAACACAATGCGCGCGAGCGTCAAGGCCGCTGTACAATCCGTTTGTTACTAGTTAGGGAGGGGAAGGGAACGCGCGGGAACAGAAAACTAACGGACTCTAATATAATATAATATCTGTGCTTACGATGATACAGGGTAGATTTTGAACACATATATATATATATATTCTTGGCTGCAGTATGCTAGTACATAGCCATTCTATTTTTCAAGCCTGTTAAATAATAATAAAATACAAATCATAATTAGTATCTATATGCTAACACATTAAAACAGATGCACCTTGAGTATACGGTACATATAGCTGGAATGCCTTGAGCTTCTTCGAAATATTACTTGCAAATATATAGCCTATTATCCAATACAATATATTTAATTTGTCAATTCAGAAGGCCAGTTAAAATACAAATAAATGATTTACTGTTCCGTCTGTCGATTGCTACTGAGAACCGCGATGGTCAAGCGGTCACGCTGTCTTACTGTACAGTAGTTACGGGTTCGCTTTTAAATACAATACGTGTAATTGATCATCATATTTTTTTATATCAAAATAAAGTTATGAAAATATGTTTATGAATGATCTAGTACCTATAGTATAAGCTATGTTTAGTTTAGGATATGGTTCTGTGTGAGTTGTCTATGGTTTTTTATTCTTATTTATCTACAATTATGAAGAGTTTATTAGTATTATAACTCATGATATGTAGTAGAAATGTTAATTTATAGTTTGGGGTTAAGAACTTTTATTTACGTATTATGAATAAAAAATATTTTCCTTTAACTGAAAAGGGAAATCCGGTAACGAATTCGAACGGTCGAAACCACGGTAAACAACTACAATCAATCTTAAACTCTTTCTAAATTACCAAGTTTCTACTTTTGTGTGTATGCGAAGTAAACATGGTTTATAATTATTCTTCGAATAAAATTGTACGCCTGAAATATTTATCTATTAACTTAAAGCAGTCGCAATGTAATATTGCTCATACTTTTTGAAACGGCGCTACATTTTTATTCGATACATGAACAAGTGTAACAAAATAAATATGACTTATGATTTTATCATTACAGTCTTAACGAAATCAATAATCACTCATATTGATAATAATTATAGCCATTATAATTTTATTGTGGAACATTCTTATTAAAAAAATCTCTCAGATAACTCCAGAGAAAAAGTTTGCCATAACAGCTATGTATATACATATTTTAACTACATAACAACAAAATTACAAACTAGCTACATATGTATTATGAGCGAGTAATATCTATTTTGTACGTGAACAACGACGCGGGATATAGCTAGTTAATACAGTAATGAGTTCGGGAGGTCATATCTTGTTGGCAAACTATAGTATTGACCTAAATATAAAATCAGCTTGTCACGACAAAAACCAAATGCCTTCTGCTAAGTAGACATTGGTTTTTGTTAACATTATTTAATCTTGTTAACGTTATTTACTTACACTTCGCTATTGTAAACTAAATATGTTTTAATTTTTTATAACGATAACTATTGAGCATTTAAGTAAATATTTAAGGATTTTAAAAAGTATATATTGTTTTCTCAAGCATGTTTGATCCGGCCTAAAAGTTTTGACCTCCCTACACCAGAAGAAAACTGACTTGCCCTCCTTCCGAAGGGTCAGAAACTGAATACGCCCATTTATACTCGTACTAATACATATTATTACTGACTGGCCATGCTTGCGGTTTGACTGGCTTGAAATTTATAGCCTACTACCTGTGCCCCGCGGTTTCACCCGGGTTAAATTTCAATAAAAATTATAGCCTATTTGTTATTCTCATGCATAAGCTATAGCTTCTATTCTTTACCCTTAGTAAGGGTTTTTGGGGGCCCTAAACAAATTTTTATACGGGGCCCCGCCGAGACACGCTACGCTTCCACTTGAGAACAACTGCTACATGGTCGATAATATGTTGTATTGTAGGTGATGTTAACAAATTCAAATTTAATTTCAAACATAAGTATTTCATAGTACCTAACGTTATGTCAAGGACTATATTTCGCAATACTAACATGTTTGTATCATTAGAATATATTGTTGACCCTAAGGGTCACTGCATGTTATTAATTAAAGTAATAGATACAATCTGTAAAGTTTTATTAAAATCTATTTAGTATTTTTTGTGTGAAAGAGTTACAACCATCCATGCATCCATGTACACACAAACTGCCCCGTTTAGAATATTATTAAGATAAGATTTATGTATGTTATATTATATTTGACATTTGTATTTAAAATAACTAATAATGGTTTCAGCTTTTAAAAAAAGTCTCCTATATATGGGACTAATCTTAGCGACATTAACTCTCATAGAAAACGTTACCACGGTAAAATCAAAGTGTTGCAGCAACAACGTTTTAATGTCTCCCAAATACATTTTTAATTAACAGATGGTATTTCTTTTCTTGCAGAGGCTGTCACTGCATCTGGCAGTGGTGCTTCTGGCGGTATACCATACCTGCCAGGCTGACCGCGCCGTTAGAGCCATACCTAGCTTCTCCAATCAGAACTATGCTGTGCTAGGTGCGCCAATAAATGCTGATTTAAACGAAGATGGATACTTTTATCCGAAACCGAAAATTCCCTTCCCGCCTCCGCCGCCGCCGCCGCCGCCGACTCTACCTCCTCGACCGCCACCACCACCACCCACTAGACCTCCACCACCTCCGCCATCAACTGGGTACATTTACGAAGCCCCCACAAGGAGACCCCCGCCGCCACCAACGCTAGCGCCAAAAACGAACGGTTATGTGTATGAAACGCCACGTATCCCGTTCCCACCGCAGACGAGAGCGCCTCCACCACCACCGCCGCCACCGACGCTGCCACCTCCGACCAGACCACCTCCGCCCAGACCACCACCAACCAGACCACCACCACCACTTACAACAAGGGCACCTACTTATACCACTATATTGAACACTTACCGAACTACTGGCTACAATTATCCTACACCTGAAGTGCGATTGACATACCCGACACCAAGACCAGTAACGTCCACAACTTTACTGCCAACTTATAGGACAACAAGACCTACACCACGTCCAACCCAACCAACATTCAGGACCCCTGGTTATTCGTACACTACACCTCGAGTACCATTTACGTATCCGTCACCAACTACACCAAGGCCAATAACGTCAACTACTTTACTACCAACATACAGAACTACGAGACCAACGCCAAGGACCCAACCAACTCCACCACCAACATTGAGAACAACTGGTTACACTTACACAACACCACGAGTGCCACTATCAACTGGTTATACTTATACCACTCCTAGAATACCATTTACTTATCCAACATCGACAACAATACGACCAGTATATAGAACCACAACAACAACACCAAGACCCACACAACCTCCTACTAGACCACCTACCTATAGAACTACTGCTTACACTTACACAACACCCCGAGTGCCATTTACTACTGGTTATACTTATCCTACGCCTCGAGTGACATTTACATACCCTACAAGTACCACTACAAGGCGACCCCCACCGCCACCACCCCCACGTACTCCACCACCACCCCCGCGTACACCTCCGACCTACTTACCTCCACCACCACCGACTCCACCTCCAACTAGACGACCACCACCACCACCTCCCCCACCACCCCCACGTACTCCACCACCACCCCCGCGTACACCTCCGACCTACTTGCCTCCACCACCGCCGACGCCACCTCCAACTAGACGACCACCACCACCACCGCCCCCACCACCCCCACGTACTCCACCACCACCCCCGCGTACACCTCCGACCTACTTGCCTCCACCACCACCAACTCCACCTCCAACTAGACGACCACCACCGCCACCACCCCCACCACCGCCACGTACTCCACCACCACCCCCACGTACCCCTCCGACCTACTTACCTCCGCCACCACCGACTCCACCTCCAACTAGACGACCACCGCCTCCACCACCTCCACCACCACCACGTACACCAGCAACTTACTTACCTCCACCACCACCGACTCCACCTCCAACAAGGCGACCACCACCACCACCACCTCCACGTACCCCACCACCACCTCCACGTACTCCACCCACTTACTTACCTCCACCACCACCAACTCCACCTCCAACTAGGAGACCACCGCCGCCACCACCCCCACGTACTCCACCACCACCCCCACGTACACCACCAACCTACTTACCTCCGCCACCACCGACACCACCTCCAACTAGGAGACCACCGCCGCCACCGCCACCACCACCACCACGCACACCTCCAACCTACTTACCACCGCCACCACCAACACGACCCCCTACAAGGCCGCCACCTCCTCCACCACCCCCACCACCGCGAACACCAGCAACATATTTACCGCCACCGCCGCCAACTAGACCACCCACCAGACCACCGCCACCACCGCCACCCCCGCCCCCAAGAACACCAGCCACGTATTTGCCACCCCCACCTCCAACTAGACCTCCAACCAGGCCACCACCACCGCCAACGCGACCACCGACCAGACCACCGCCACCACCGCCTCCACCGCCGCCACGTACACCTGCAACATATTTACCACCACCGCCACCAACGCGGCCGCCTACAAGACCACCTCCGCCACCTCCACCGCCACCACGTACACCTCCTACTTACTTACCACCACCGCCACCAACTAGACCACCAACCAGGCCACCACCACCGCCGCCTCCCCCGCCGCCACGTACACCACCCCCACCACCAAGAACACCACCACCGCCTCCACGAACCCCGCCACCACCACCACGAACAAACCCAACGTACAGCACAATTTTACCCGTGACTAGAACAACCGGATACAACTACCCGCCTCCCAGTATACCGTTCACTTTACCAACAACCAGGAGTCCACCACCAGTATACATTCCCCCTAGAACAACACCACCACCAGTATACATTCCTCGTACCACCAGACCGCCACCAGTCTACATTCCCCCTAGCACCAGACCACCACCAGTATACATCCCTCCTTCCACGACTAGAGCCCCACCTACCTATTCCACCATCTTACCAGCAACCAGAACAACAGGCTACAACTACCCCCAACCTAGTATACCGTTTTCACTGCCAACAACAAGGAGAACACCCCCTCCTACGAGACCTCCGCCAGTATACATCCCCCCTAGCACTACACCACCACCGGTATACATTCCTAGAACAACCAGGCCACCTCCAGTATACATTCCACCTTCCACAATCAAGCTACCAGTATACCAACCCCCTACGACTCGACCGCCTTTCGTAGCCGACCAAGGTTATTTCTACGATCGTCCTCAAGTACCATTCGTGTATTAAATTAGTTTAAATTTTAAGTACAAGTCTTTAAGTTGCCATAAATGTGATACCAAACTATGTACTTATTAAGTACAGGAGTAGCAGTCCTTATTATTAAATTTTGTTTCATTAAGTTTAACGAATTGTAATATATTTATGTACGTAAGTATATATTGTTATATAAATATGTGTTGCCATTGTTACCGCGATTTTTATTATATATTAATTATATATATTATGTTAAATTGTGAAAATACTCAAAACGAGACTAGAAGTCGACACTGCCTTAACTAATATTATGTTTAGATTGTAAAATATTTTTTACAAATAAAAATATTTAAATGTGAATACAATGTTTTATTTTTATTTCCATACTACACCGCTTCAGTAACAGAAAATAAATATTCAAAAGATTTTTAGAAATGCTGAAAGCATTATAAAGTAATTTATATTTGTCTGTGTTTATCCAATAATGTAAAAAAACTATAGAGAAATTAATTAAATCATATATTTTACACTTAAAAACGTTAGCGATATTATGAATGGACTGTCTGCGTGATATAAATCAAACAATGGATAGAAAATGGTAAATACTTATAATGAAAATAACAACAGAAGCAAGGCAAAAGTGACAATAAAAATTATAATAATTAAATCATATATTTTACACTTAAAAACGTTAGTAATAATAATAATAATAATAATAATCTCAGGACAATTCACACAGCGCCATCTAGACCCAAGTTAAGCTAGCTAAAGCTTGTGTTATGGGTACTAGATAACTGATACAAATACATAGATATATATTTTTTTTTAATACATACATATTGTACATAGAAAACACCCAGACCGATACAAACAATCATACTCATGAATACAAATGTTTGTGCCGTGCGAGGAATCGAACCCGCGACCATCAGTCGTAAAGCGGTGTGCTAGACCACTAGACCACCGAGGTCGTCAAAGTCGTCGTTAGTGATAATATGAATGGACTGTCTGCGTGATATAAATCAAACTATGGATAGAAAATGGTAAATACTTATAATGATAACAACACAACAACAGAAGCAAGGCAAAAAACATGACAATTCTATAAAGTAAAGAAAATACATTTAAAATTGGTGCAAAAATAAATATATCAAAACGTGCCGCATTGCACGAGGGTCAACAGTCCATTCACATTACTAACAATCCGCGTTCTCACCGACATGTAGCAGTTAGCATGACTCCTTCAACTAGTAGAGAAACTACAACATGTAGAGAAACTACAGCATTGGTATTTTCAAGTATATTAAGATAAGACCCTTAAGGTCGGCAACGGGCACGTAATTTCTCAGGGGTTTCAGGCGTCCAGAGGCTACGGTAATCATTTACAATAAAATGGACCGAATCTTGGTTTACCACCATCGTAGTACTAAAAAAATGTTTAAATAAGAAAAAAAATAGTAAGTTTCACCATACGTTACCTTTGGTTTCGGTAAACGACCAGATTATGATCTTCACCTTCGCTAAGTCGGCTGTAGTATTAGAATCTGCTCCATATCTATAGAGCGGAGCAAGCGCATCGGTGTTTGTTCATAGCACAGATATTCCACTAATAACCATAGAACGTAATTAACCACGTAACGTATTTCAATTTAATATGAGTTTTATTTAGTTGTAAACGTGTGCTGCTTGTAGCGAGTGGGCTTTTCGGATTACGGCCACTGATTACATTATTTCCTTTTGGCTAAAATGCAATTGCATATTCAGGTTTTCACTACTTTCTCTTTAATTTAATTTATAAATTAATCTGTATTTTTGTATAACGTACAAGCTCATTTGAAAATAATAAGATCTTCAATTTTATATTTTTTTTAATTGTATTTTTGTACTTTATTGCGGCACAACAATATTAAATGATTACAGACATTGGCACTAGTAACTCAAATATTATTTTAAAAAGAATATTATTAATGTTATAGATTATAGAGTACGCCTACAAGATATAGAGTACAATACTCTATTTTAGAGTACGTTTGGTAACTTTACGTATATAGACGATGGTTACCACTTGGAACGTCAGCTTGTTTCCCATTATGATTACATAAAAAACCATGTTTCAAGTAAATAAATTAAATGGAATTAAAATAATTCTCAATTGAGGACAAAATGGGAGTCGTGTCGTATCAAGGATTAAAGAGCATGATGGAAGATCGCGGAAAGTGGCAAGAGCTCCACCGACAAGAGCGTAGCTCTTAAATTATGAATGAATGAAAATAATTCTCGATTAATGAGCACAGTCCCTCGCAACAACAAAACGTGCACAGTTACATACTAGCTCCGATTCGTAACGCTTCAGGGGCATCGCGCCAGCAACTTTCTTCGTAAACTACTGGAGATAAATGCATGTACTCATTATGGAGTATTTACATACTGGATCACAGCGGAGATGAGCTGTTGTGTAATGTTGACCTCGGTGCTTTGTTATTAAGTGAAAATAAAATCACATATGATTCAATGATACGGGGGTATACGGTAAGCAGAGTTTCTGTCATTGGTACTAAACAACTGATATAAATTTTTATATATTTCATTTCTATGTATTTGTATCAGTTGTTTAGTACCCATAACACAGGTTCTAGCTAGCTTGAATTAGTACTGGATGACGCTGTGTCAATTATTCTGAGATACCTACCAATATTATTATTAAAAATATTATCCTTACTCATAGTATAAAAACGAAAGTAATTCTGTCCGTTTGTCTCACCTTCACGCCAAAACTACTGAACCGAATTAAATGAAACTTGACACACAAATACTCTACACTCTGAGAAAGGATATAGGCTGCTCAGCTTGGGACTTGATAACGCTGTGTGAATTGTCTTGAGATAAAAAAAATATACAAAACATGACCGAAGCGAATCTCGCTCGCTCTACCTATACCACCTTTCCTTTTATTATCATACTAGCTGACCCCGCGATTTCGTCCGCGTAGAATTTAAATTTACTTTACTAAAATAAAAGTAGCCTAAGTTACTTCTTATTACATCAGCTACCTGTCAAAAAAAGTCTCCTCGAAATCGGTGCAGCCATTTCAGAGATTAGCCGGAACAAACAGACAGACAGACAAAAATTGTAAAAAATCTTATTTTGGTGTATATACCGTATTCATATGTAGGTAGTAAAAAACGGTAATTACAATATTACAAACAGACACTCCAATTTTATTTATATGTATAGGTTCACGCTCAAGCCGTGTTATGTAATTTGGAAGTGTTTAATTAGAATGTAATATTCAATAGAATAATACAATCTAACTAACAATATCATAACACAAGTCACGGTCATTATTCTCGCTTTCTTTCTAAGGAAGATAGCATTCCGTACGTCACCATTCATCAAACCGTCAGACTGTACATGAAAGTTACACAAACAAGTCCGGACACGCGTCAATGAACATTCGAACACAACTACCATAAATCTTTACAAATATTACAGGAATAAACTCTATATCATGCGCATTATGTTGTGTCTAATACTGATTACACGATAATACATGTAGAAAACACTAGCAGTTACCTGCGACTTGGTCTGATTTTTTCAGTTTAAGTATAACTTATGCCGGCTTTGTGATATAATCTATCTACAACTATAACTTCATTAAGATCTGTTCAGTCGTTTAGTCGTAAAAATTAGAAATAGACAGAGAAACATATTTTTGGATTTATTATATTTATTATTAACATTTATATTTTTTAATAACATTTCAGGCCCGTGACCTCAGTAATTTACTTCAAAATCAAATGTTTACATTTTTTTTTTATAACACAGGGGACAAACGAGCATGCGGCTCACCTGATGGTAAGTGATTACCGCCGCCCATGAGCACCCGCAACACCAGGGGAATTGCAAGTACGTTGTCGGCCTTTTAAAAAGGAATAAGCTCTTTTCTTGAAGGTTTCAAGTATCGGTTCGGAAATACCATTGCTGGAAGGTGATTCCACAATGTGGTTGTGCGAGGCAAAAAGTTTCTAGAAAACCGTACTGTGGAAGACCGCCATTTATCCAGATGATCAGGATGGTATTTCAGTTTCTGGCGGGTAGTACGGTGGTGAAACTCAGCAGCTGGTATTAATCCGAACAATTCCTCAACACTCCCCGTGATACATTAAAAATATATATTAAAAAATTACAATACAATAAATATTACCAGAAATATTGTCAATACTTACATAGTACTATCGCAAACTTGCTTTGCGAGCAATGTATTTTTTGTAAAATTTGAATGGCAGAGGAACCATAAGGACTCGAGTTGACTCGAGTTACCTGGAATAAAAAGTTTTATTTTTATTTTTCCGAACAATTCTAATGTTTTTGGTCGCAGCTCGCCTTGAAAGCTTCACCGAACTGTAGAGGGCGAGTAGAAATGGCACTTTAAAACCACGGAAGGACTTATGGAATGCATAATCATTTTATTGATATCATAATCGGACGAATATTCGAAAAAAAATTATAACTACCGAAAATTGTATGATATGAAATGATCGGTAAATTTCATGTCATTGTCAGTTCGAGAACAGAATCTTGCTCTCTCTCTTTCACTTGATTCATCCATTTACCAGTTGAATTCTTCCAACTCGAGTTGGCAGAATTCAACTCGAGTTAACTCGAATTATGCGCAACTCGAGTTAACTCGAGTTGACACATCTCTACTATTAGGTATTGAGGAATTACTCTCTGTTAACACGGACGTTTGTGATGGCTGTATAAAAATCCGGTCGGCCATTTGCTTATTTTCAAATCCAGCCTCATTAACAAAACTATAAAAACCAATATACAATCTCTTTCTTAAACGAACAAACACAAAAACACGACTACAAAAAGATAATAAACAAAAAATATCCTCAATGACTTGTAACAGAGTATAGTTAATAGAAATAATAATAGTAATCCCTGAATAATTCACACAGCGCCATCTAGTCCCAAGATAAACATAGCTTGTGTTATGGGCACTAGACAACTGATATAAAAACATTCATACTTTTTTTGGTAAATACATACATAATATACATAGAACACCCAGAACGATACAAACAATCATACTCATGAATACAAATTTTAGTACCGCGAGAAATCGAACCCGCTACCATCACAAGTAAAGTGGTGTGCTAAACCGCTACACCGAGGCCGTCAATAGATAATCTGTTAGTTACGATATAAATCTTGCAACTGAATTGATAACTGTTATTTAATGTATCACCGAAAAACCGATTAAGGATTCCACTCGTTGCGTAAACCGTTTTTGTATAACTACAAAAACTATGGTCACGCATCATTCGTTTCTGTAACGATTTCTCCACAGTTATTCTCTATGATTTCGTATGACAATATGAAAAACCTTAAGTTGTACGTATAATTACATGCTGTAAATTAATTCAGCGAGGTTTGATGGACTTGTCACTTTGACGAGAATGTGACAGCAACCAATTTACTGTTTTCACTGCCCTCATGAGCAAGCAATGAATACAATATGATTTCAACAGTCAATATATACATATAAATAAAATTGGAGTGTCTGTTCGTAATATTGAAATAACCGTGTTTTACTACATGCCTATCAATATAAATCGTACATACAAAAAATATGTACCGAACATACAAAAAAGATTCTAAAAATAACCATAAAAGGGCATGAACTTAATAGTCTATGAAAAGTAAGAGCGAAATAATAATAAAAAAATATGGTACATTCACCTAAATACCATTTTTTTTACATTTTTTTGTCTGTCTGTCTGTTTGTTCTATTTTCCCTGCCTCTCTCTCATGGAACTTAGCGAACTATTATATATAACTTGTCGTATGTTATTTATTTTTTTATTTACAAATATTATAAAGCTAAGTACATTGGACCCCGCACTATGTGAATCTGCCCGCAAAAGAACCGCCAGATGTTATTTAAAAGTGTATTTTAAGTTTATGTCTATTTCTATTAACTTTTACAGATCAGTTATTAGAGTAGATTTCATAAGAATCTAAAATAGACTCACGCGAATAAAGATATCTAAATTGGAAAAATCATCTAAGCTGAACTCTACATTACTCTACTACATTACCTAAACTACGACAAACAATCGGAATGTTTGTACCGTGCGAGGAATCTAAATATTATTATTTTTGGTATATATAGCGTTACAGTAAAAGTTTATGATATTTACTTTCAATAAGTCTCCACATTACATAATATTACTGATGTCCTTCCTAGGTCATATCTGTATGAATAAAATGCCCTATAGGTTAAAATCTAGTTTAAATTGTTGATTCTATGTATAAATTTTCTCGGCAAGAATAAAATTTACAATCTAAATCTAAACTAAATACTCTACATAGGCTCTCTTTCATCGATATTCCATCATTTGGAAAATAATTAGATATATAATTAATACATAAAGGAATTTTCTTTGCAAAAATGTGAACGAAGGACTGTATATATATTGGGCTGGTAAATATAATTATGTTAACAATGTACAAAAGTATAATAGTTAGCAGAACTAGAATAACAATGACATATATACATTTCTATATAAAATAATAGACAAAATATATAAATGATATACAGAGAGGTGCGTCGTGTACAAGCACTTTAAAATGACGGTAGATTTGACATACCATAAGCATCTGTAATAGATCTACATGAATAAAGAAATTTTGATTTCATTCCATTTCAACTTTCAACCTTTGACGCCTAAAACCGGGATACTCAACCACTAGTTTACAACGCTCTCGATTACGTAATAGAACTGTAGACAAATTAATTTTTGTACTATAATTGCCTCGCTCATAACATTAACAGTCATTCACTGTAATGCTCAAGATATGCGTTATAAATTGGACATAACACGAGGCCTCTCTCAAATGATGAATATTTCGAGTACGTTTGCACCGCGAGCCACATACGCTTCAGTGACTTGCGGCTACTCGAGTGATGGGATGAATATCTATATCGATAACTATGGGACACAGTTGTCTAGATACATCAAAATAATAATTGCATTTAATAATGGCTAGTAAGACAAATCCAATATTGTGTACTAAGCACTGCTGTGTCTAAACTGTGTCACCCCACCTTACATTTTCCAATTGTTATTTAGTATATAAAATCAATATTTTTATGTACATATTTTCAGTCAATTATAATCTGTAATATACATCGTCTCAAGCAACAACATCGTATCATTCACCCGCATCAATAACTATTAGATATACTAACTAGAAAATATAGCTTATTCTATTGTTAGATAAGTATTAGACAAAATAACTAAACAAATAATTACATACTTGTTTAAGAATACGAGCTGAGTTCTTGTCAGTTCTTCTCATCTCGAAATCATTCCGAACTGACCACAGATTTTGACATATCAAAAGAGTCTGTAATAGACCTACATGAATAAAGATATTTTGATTTTGTTAGTAATATTTTTAATTTACTAATTGACGGGTTTGCGCTTTGTTCGATTTTACCTGACTGCAAATGAAGATACAATATCATTTTTTTGAAGAAATTATTAATTGACCATCTTGAAGTAATTCTAAGGTAGTATTATTGTATTTTTTTATGTTTCGTTAAGTTAAGTTTTAAACTAATAATGAAGCTAAGCAAATCTATAACCAAATTTATGATTCCGGAAATATAAGATAAAGGTTTAACAAGTAAGTACGACTACGAGGATACTGTTTTGAATAACTCTAAATTTAATACTTTTAAAAAAAATCGAAATTATATCGAAAATATTTTTAAAACCAAATGCATAATACCTGAGTTTTAATTATAACAGACGATAAAATCTTCTTTTTATTTTATATTATATAGTAATTTTATATTAGTTAGCATATCAAAAAGGAATATTATTTTATTATTTTTGCTACATTTGTAGTATACTTATTATTTTCTTTAAATTTATACCTTCTGAAGTTAGGCGCAAATAAATACTACGCAGTTTTTTTTAAACTAATTCACTTTTTAGAATCAAAATCTGTTAGTGTTATTATATTCATAAATAAATCCTATATCGATATTAAAATGAAAGCTCCCATCCCAACACTAGTAATACATCAAACAGCAACGATCTCAAAGGAAAACACATAGTGGTCGACTCTCAAAGAATCCGCCGCATTACACTGCGCGGACGCATTGCTAGCGCGTGTGCAAACAAACAAACAGACATACTTCGAATAGTGATGTGACACGTCATAATGTCCAGTGACAGTTCGATAGCGACCAACACTAGTTCAAGGATCAGACAATTTGGATTGTACAGGACCATCGATGCCAGGACTGAGGAGTTCTTGAAGCTGTCAAGGAAGAGACAGATAAGGCAAGGATGCGCCTGCGCAGTTATATCGACGGCAATCACTGTTGCCATCGTAGTGGTAATTTCATTATTATATTATGAACTAACTGTAGCCGCGACTTCGTCCGCGTGGCGTCCAGCGTCCGCGTTAAAATTATGTTCTAAAATAGAAGTAGCCTAAGTTACTCCTTATTACATCAGCTACCTGCCAATAAAAGTCCCGTCAAAATCGGTCCAGCCATTTCAGAGATTAGCCGGAACAAACAGACAGACAGACAAAAATTGTAAAATATGTATTTTGGTGTATGCACCGTATTTATATTCATATGCACATGCATATGCATAGTAAAAAACGGTTATTTCAATATTACAAACAGACACTCCAATTTTATCTATATGTATAGATAAACAACTATAGCTATACCCCAAAAAAAAATAACTTCAATTATTTATAACCACATCTGGGATATGTACATATTTTGATTTCAAAACTAAATTACTGGATTGAGGTTGTTTTTGACGGCCGGTGGTCCAGCGGTTTAGCACACCGATTTACTTCTGATGGACGCGGGTTCGATTCCTCGCACGGTTCTAAACATTTGTTTTCATGAGTATAATTGTTTGTATCGACCTACGAGTTTTCTATGTTTTCTTAAAAAATCTAAGTGTTTATATCAGTTGTCTAGTACCCATAACACAAGCTCTGCTTACCGTGGTACTAAATAGCGCTGTGTTAATTGTCCAGGGTTATTTATATATTCATATTTATTTAGTTTAATAAAATTCCAATCTGGAAGTAGATCTTAAAAGTACCTACTTTTATATTGAAAAATTCGTTTTGAAATCAAAATATGTATATAACAAACAACGAATATTCATAAATGGTAGAGTTTTGAGGTAACAAACATTAAGGGCCTCCTTTTTTTGAAATCGGCTAAAATATAATTATCTAACCTGTCTAATCTTGCTTGTAAGTAGTTTGTATTTGTTATTTGAATAACTATAACTGAATGTTTACTTAATGGATTTATTTTATTTAATTACGCTATCATAAGCATGTGTGAGATTATAAATATTCGGTATGGAAACCTGACTACCGCTCAGATCGACCTCTACGCGGTTCCCCCTGGAAACCATCGTGATACATTCCCGGCGAATTTATCACGTTGGGCTAACTGATCTGACTTCATGTTCATCATATCATCCTCCACTGGTGCCCCGCCAGCGTAAACCGTTAGCGCAGGCGGACGCACCATTCCATTATCATCCTTAAAAAAAAAACCTGACTACCGCTACTGAAAGCGTTATCTCCTTCTCTATTGGTGATCAAATCCCGACCGTAATTGAGTCTACACCTATATTACGACACTTGTTTCACCTCTGAACGAGGCATCATCAGGCATTGAATAGAGTTCAGATATAGCTTGGAAGCCTAGTGTTGTCTGTTCGGCGACCAAACTACGATCCGAATGTTTATAAATAAAATGTACGACTGATGCAAATTAAACAAATATTGCTCGCTGAAATAAACAACAGTTATTGTTACATTGTATAAAAGAATTTAAAATAAACGATCTGTACAATTGCGAGTACTAACTGTATTTTATTTGACAATGAGGAACCAATTCATTCATTCATAATTTAAGAACGGCTCTCTTGTCGGTGGAGCTCTTGCCACTTTCCACGATGTTCCATCATGCTCTTTAAATGATGATACGGCACGACTCCCATTTTGTCTTTAATTTGCTTGATGTAGCTGTGCCTTGGTCTTCCCCTACCCCTCTACAATATTATGGTACTTTATATAACTATAGCAATCAAGAATACTGATATCTGATGGTAAACGGTTACCGTACCCTTTAGACGCCTGAAACACCAGGGGTGTCACGTGCGTGTTGCCGACCCTTAAGAAACTTTAATATATCCTTCTTGAAACACTAAGTAATTCAAATATACCCTTATCAAAAAACTCCCTTTCAATAAAATTAAAAGTTTTCGGTTAATTTCTTCAGTGGACTTGCAATTCAATTGCCACTTAATATGTACGCATTTATATCACTTATTATAAATAGAGTTAGTTTTCCAATATTGTTATTAATATACACTATTAATAATCCTGTATATGTAAAAAGGTTAGATAGGTCTAATCTCTTGATGATCCCAATAAGCAAAATATATTTAACAAATTGACCAATCCAAGTGCTCATAAAAAAAAATTATAGCCTTACTTTCAACATTTTAATTTCAGTTGAGAAGAACTCAACAGAAATGTTCAAATGATCTGATAGGGTCAAAATTGAATTTAAGAATTTAACGTGAAGACATTGTATAAAGTTGTCTTCATAGGTGGTCAGTTGGTAGCTCTGATTCACCTATTTCATCCGCCTGGCCGCTTGATTTTCAATCTGTTTCTCGTAGGGTTGAGTTAAATTCCCATTAAATATGATAACAGCCAATTTCACATATAATTAAGGTATGTAAATTATGCACAAAATGTTCAAATTAGGAACATACAATACCCAAAGTCACTGGCCCATAGACGTGCGTGCGTTATGTCGCGTACTTACATTATGGTCATAAAAAAAGAAAGTTGTCGTGTGTCGTAACCTTAATGGTCTCTAGGCTTGTATGAAGTAATTCACTTTAAATAAAGACGATTTATTATAATGGCAGTCACATAACAACCAGGTCAATGCAGCCTTTGGTAGAGCTTCTTATACAGCATTTAAAATATCTGAAATATGGAATATTCTAGTAGGTACGTCTACCTCTCGCGGTTGCATTTTTTTTTTCTATATTTAACTATAATAAAATATTTCATAAATATAACATTTAATATCTCATTGACGACCTCATCATACATCATAAATATAACATTGACGACCTCGGTGGTCTAGCGGTCTAGCACACCGCTTTACGACCGATGGTCGCGGGTTCGATTCCTCGCACGGCACAAACATTTTGTATTAATGAGTATGATTGTTTGTATCGGTCTGGGTGTTTTCTATGTATAATATGTATGTATTTACCAAAAAAAATATCTATGTATATGTATCAGTTATCTGGTACCTATAACACAAGCTCTAGCTAGCTTACCTTGGGTCTAGATGGCGCTGTGTGAATTGTCCTGAGATTATTATTATTATTATTTAACATAATGTTACACATTGGTTCTTGTTTATATTGCTATACCAGGAAAGGAACATGTATAAGTTGTATTTAGGTATACAACGACAGTAATCGAAACACTAGTGTATGTACGTAAATTTTAAAAATCTCTTTTGGATACGTCATTTAAATTTTTAAAGCTAAACTAATATGTTGAAATAAAAATTTACCGATTTTTTTTAAGACTGGTAACGTGGGACTGGGACTGGGACGCCAGCGGAGGATGATGGGATGAATATGAGGTCAGGTCAGTTAGCCCATTGTGACAAATTCACCATGAATTTATCATGATGGTTTCCAGGGGGAACCGCGTGAAGGTCAACCTGACAGGGTACATTGCTAGCGATGGGGACATCAATCCACATTACTAACAATCCCTTCCCTCTAAAGCTACCGATTAAACAAATCGGTATCGCAGGTACTCCGCTATAGATGGTAACATTATTTGAAAATTTTGCACCTGTCTATTTAGTTACCAGAATTTAAAATTAAAAATCAGGCCATAGCTGTGCCCGCGGTTATACGCGCACGAAATTTATAGTAGTATATTTGTGAGTATGGATGGATAAATGGATGGTTGTTTGCATGACGCGACGTAAACACTATTGAACTGATTTTGATGAAATAATACAGTAATGTAGCTTATACATTAGAATAACATATAGACTATAATTTAAAAATATATTATGTAAATTTGGCGATATATATGATAAATGTCAAATAAGTGTAATGTAGATGAAGTTGTTCAGGTTAGTTAGTAAAATATAGGGTTGTAAGGATACAGCGTCATCTAGTCCCAAGCTAAACAGATCTTGTGTTATCTTGGATATAGCTAACCCGCGACTTTGTTCGCGTGGAATTTAACTTTACTTTTCTAAAATAAAAGTAGCCTAAGGTACTCCTTATTACATTATATACCTGCCAATAAAAGTCCCGTCAAAATCCGTCCACCCATTTCAGAGATTAGCCGGAACAAACAGACTGACAAAAATTGTAAGAAATGTTATGTTGGTGTATGTACCATATATATATTCATATGCATGTAGTAAAAAACGATTATTTCAATATTACAAACAGACACTCCAATTTTATTTATATGTATAGATTATATTGTAAATCTCTACAACAATTGCCGCTTTTTCTATTTAATTTTCTTACACGTCCAAACCTCACGGAGCGTAAAGATTCATTGGTGGATCATAAAATTCTATAATTGCTTATTTTAGTAGGTGACTAAATCTGATCTGGATTCCGTTCATGTAGAGTTAACGCATTTCCTACATGACGGTGAAATCATCTGCATTCAGACGTAAACTCGCATGGAAATTGGCATGAAATGGTTACTCCTCACGAGATGCCAGTTTATTTATATACGGCACGAAAGGCTCGTCTATCTACGTTTATCTATGACATTATCTATATTAGATATCAGTTTGATTTTAGAGAGTTTAGAATTACTGTTGAATATATTTTCTATGTTCAGTCAGTTTAAGTCAATTTTCACTGCGTTGTAGATTCTTTTATAACTTTTACGGCTTCGGTAGTCTAGCAGTTTAGCACACCGCTTTACCGTACTAACATTTGTTTTCAACATATATGTAACAATCATATCTATTTGATTTTGTATTAGTCTTGGTGTTTTCTATATATATAGGTAACCCCGCAAACTTTGTTTTGCCATATAAATTAAAATCGCTATTAAAAAATAGGGGTTGGTGATAGAAGGGTGAAAATTTTGGGTTGTATACATTTTTAGTGCTTCATTATAAAAACTAAATGACAAAAATATAAAAAAAATGTTACGGATAGATCACTTATCACTTAGGGGTATGTAAAATAGATAGTAGCCGATTCTCACACCTATTGAATATGCATATAAAATTTAATACAAATCGGTCATGCTGAGGAGGAGTATGGTAACTAACAATGTGACACGATAATTTTATACATGAGATTAAGTATGTATTTACAAAAAAGATTTCTATATCAGTTGTCAAATACACTATAGTGTGTTTAATACTTTTTTAATTGATTTAATATTTTTTTTATGCATAATTAAAAATATTGCCATATGTATAGAGAAGGAGTGCAGCCTTCTCTATACAAAGTACGAGTGTACAAAGTTTTTGTTTCACGTGTATATATAACGATTAATAAACTATAGCAATTGTGATGTATTAACGTTGTAATTAGTTGATCTATTATTTGGTATTGAAAATATTTTTAACTGCACCTTCTTCATTTTTGGTCTTTACAATACAAAGGTAAGATAAATTCAACATGTTTAATGTTTCTTTAAAAACTTTTAGCTTACATGTAGACGTAATCAGTAGCTTCATCTGTCTTTGTGTAACAAGCATCTAACATCTTTACAAACTTTCGCATGTAATATACATACCGAGAAATTAAAATAAATATATTTTAAGTATATCTTTCTTTTCATTTCAGTGTGTCATCCTCGTCTACGAATATGAAATCAATTCAGCCTTCAAAAATAAAAAGAAATCATTACACAGAACTAATTGGCTCAATCTTAGAAATGACACCGCCAATAATTATCAAGACAAGTTCAGAAAAACTACTGTTAAATTTGATAAATCCACTATAAAGCTTCTACCATTGATTTTAAAAGCGCTGAAACATAATAAATATTTAGAGAATCTTATTGAAGATTCCTCTAATCCTATTAAAGACGAAATTAAAGCCACTACAGAAATGTCTAGTGCGACAAATTTATTCTCTAATAGAAATTGGATAAGAATTCCAACGTCTAAACTGTATACTATCGAATATAAAACATCGCCAATTATATATTTGAAATATCCGACAAGAAATATCGATTATTACACAAAGATCAGAAAAATAAGAGACTATAACAGAATAATGAATTATCTCGAAAAAATGATAAGTGAAAAAGGGGGTATTGACTATACCAAATCTATGAGAAGAGATTATATTAGTTCAACTGAAAAAATAACAAGCAAATCAAAATCTTACACTGACTATAAAAATCAAGAACAGTCGAAACCAAAGCTACGGAAACAGCTGCAAAAAATGCAATTCAAAAATAATTCTCAGCAGTTGTCTGATAGCAACATTGTTAATTGTAAATGTCCAAAAAATATGGGGAATTTATTGAATAAATTAATTTTTAGCATCCATCAATTGTTAAATGATGATAAAAGCAATAGAATGACTATAGCAACACCTTGCGACGGAAATAAATCGCAGTCACCAAATTTATTCTCTACGTTACCTTCTTTCTTTACACGAGACGTTACAACGACTAAGACGAAAATAACAACTACCACTACAAAAATTAGAGAATTGTCTAAAAAAACGATAACTGAACAATCCACAAAAAGAGTCTTCAAATATATGTCAGAATTTGACAATGTATTACAAAATATTGTAACTAGGGTAATGGAGAACCATACTTACTTCCCTCGTAAGTCTTTGAATATAAGTCCAAAATATTATGCAATCATAAAGAATTTTACAACAATTTCGGAAAATAATATGAATACAAATATGCATTATGAATACAGTACGACTGCCAAAAGCTATATAGATGGCACAGAATATTACGATGAAGTAACAACCACAGTACCGATGTTAATGAACGATAATAATGGAGAAAAAATATATAAATCTGATTCTTTCATTATAAATAAATACGCATTACAAATAAATCCAGAAAAAGTAGTGAAAACTAACAGAATTTATCCAAAACCTAAATTCTATAAAATATTTGGTTTATCCACAGATAAATTAGACACTAAAGAGAAATTGGATACAAACGACAAAATTACAGGATATAATCAAAATGAATTACCTTTGAAAATTCGACCTTCTATACCCATATATACTGAAGACGATTATTATAAGCATGATGCATCAGCTCAGAATGTAATTAAAGATATTAATGTCAAAGAATTAATTAAAATAAGAAATGTACCTAAAATTATAATACAAAAGACAAAAACTACATCAACAGTTTTACCTATATTAAGTACTCCTAAAATCTCACTCTCAATAGAGCTGAAGGAAAAACATATTCCTTCAAGTGAAAATAGGAACGATAAAATTTATGTAAATGCAAAAGTTCCTGCAGATATATACACAGAAACTCAGGCATATAAAAGTACTAAGGAACAACCAAAACATTTAAAAAAATCGTCGTTAAATGTTGTTGTAGAAGGATATGGCATAGATGATGATTTTATTACAGATGATACAATGGTAACATCCATTACACCGGTTCTAAATAAGAATACAAGTGTACTAATTGAAATAGAAAATAAACCAGACATAGAATCAAATTTATGGGAGTCTCTAAAAAGTGAAGAAAACTCTTTGAAATCGCAATCAATGCTGCCTCAAAATCGGCCAACTTATTTAGAAATTCAAAGAAATTATTGGAAACACGATGAGCCTATAGATTATGATACTAATATGAAATATAATAGTTTTGACTGATTTTTTAAACTGCATTATACCATAGATAAGATAATATTATATAATACTATTAGAATAATAATGAAATTAATAGATACTTTTTGAAACTATGTTAATATCTACTCTTTGAAGTTATTTAACTCTTTTATATTAATAACAATTTTATAATAAACACTAAATATTATTGTATATTTATAGTTATGTTTAATATTTTAAAGAAATATAATAAATAGATATATTGGTGACATATTATTACTAAATTCCTGTCTTCTTAATATAGAATTTATCTTTATATAGTAAAAAACAAAGCCGCCACCGCTGTCTGTTGGTTTATATATTTTAAATTGTGCAACGGGTTTTAATGAAGTTTTCAGAAATAGATAGAGTGATTGAAGTGGAAGCTTTATATGTATAATACATGCGTGTTATAGTATAGAACAAGCTGAGAAATTCAAAGATTTGTAATGTGTCCAAGCGAAGTCGGTTGGGGCGGATAGAAACTAAGTTATTTAAGTCAATATTTCGTATATTTATATCCTAAACAAAACCTATTTAATTTTTAATATATAACACTAAAAAGTGAGTAATATTACGACTGATTATTATATGTATTATGAAAACAAGGCAATATATATTTTTTTGAATTGTTAGTTACCCAGGTATGTAAAATATATTACTACTTACTTGCACTACTAGCTACCCGCCATGGCTTCGCAAGGGTACGTGTATGTACTATACATATAAACCTTGCTCTTGAATCATTCAATCTAATTTAAAGCGTAGTTTAAAAGATCGATAAAGGAAGCGACTTCATTTTATATTATGTAAAGATAATACTGGTCAAGCAAGGCCACGGAAAATGACGTATGATTTATATAAGTTATTCATCAATATATGTGTATAATTGACTGATACAATACTGTGTACAGTAACTTGTCAGTCAATTATTAGTACATGTTCCATTAGCGAACTAATTAAAATATTTTTACTTTCAGGTTATTCTACTAATCTACGAGTACGCGATTGCAGTAGAATGGAGCTTAGTACAAAACAAAAAACCATATCACAGAAGAAGTAATAATACGATAATAGTAAATGATACACCTGTTGCAGACAGGCTCGACCGAAGTTACTTCGGTTTTGACCAAGATTACTATGAACGAATGCCACTCCTTGTTAATGCTATGCAAGAAAATAGCTATGTAGACCCTTCCATAGATACAACGATACAAAAGAGAGGAAAAAATATCGATATGATTTACCCGAATCCGAAAATAACGACAAACGAAGCAAAATACGAGAATTCTATTAGAAGAACTAGTCCCAGACCATTTATATACGAACAAAGAAGTCCTACACCTGTCCCTTTCAGTAAAACATTTCGATCAAAAAGCTGGGTCGAAAGTTACCGAAATGCTGAAAGGCTGAAGAATATACAACAGGTTATAAAATATTTAGAAAAGACGATAAACGCAAAAGTTGGGGATATGCACGGACTTTCGCCTAGTACCCAAATAGCTTTTTCTGGTGTTTATGTTGAGCCTTATCATCATGACAATAAAGGACCTAAACAACCCCCTTCTATAGATTTGTTGTTAGAAAGTTCTAATAATATAGAAACTATAAAATCAAGTCACCAGTCTGATCCACTATTTAAATATAAACCAGACAATCCTAGTGATGTAAATTTGTTAGCTGATAGTTATTTACGTTTTTTGCCAACAGCAACACCTACTTTATTTTCTAAAGAGTATCCGAAAGTTCCAATGTTCAGACCAATCCCAGTTCCAAGTCAGAAGAAACCTTTTGACTTACTGCAGTCTTCTTCTTTAAACAACAATTTTAATACTAATGAAAATAATAATAAGGATAAAGCAAAAACATTTAGTGTTATGTTAAACTTGTACCCTTTATTGCCTTCATTATTAGACACTAAAGCAAAAAGAGTAGACTTTGGTAAAACAACGCAATCTGTACCCAATAAAATTTATATTACTACTTCGCGTCCATTATTTCGTAGAAAGTCTATTGTACGTCGTACTTCCGTCTCTAGTAAAAGGCCTCGTATATTTAATAATTACAAAACACCTAAGTATAATGAGGTTATATTCAGTTCTAAAGATAAAACGGACCATAGCGACTCCGAAGGAAAATCCAATATGATTGTTCAAGTCAATGTTTATCAAGCCGATAAAACATCCAAGTTATATGACAAAACAGAAAACAGTACAGAGTTTACAATAAACAACAATAATCAGAAAAGAATTACTCCTGTTACTGATGTGCCTATTCAATTATCAACAACTCAAGTTGAAGATCGTCATCTTGGTAGTTCTGGCGTATTACCAGTACAAACTAGATCAGAGCCACCACCATCTCTACCAATAGTTACAACAATGATTCCATTTTTTGATATCACACCAACGACCACAAATACATGGGTAACGAATCCTCCAGATATTATAAAATTTAGTCATGAAGACGCTAAAATCCCCGATCAATACATAAACATGCAAACAAATAACTTTGGCAGTGACGCTATTACAATTGACAGACGCAGTTTTACAGTAGATTTGGATTCAAGCGAAAAAGAATCCGAAAAAAGAACGCTTGTGGTAAAACTTAAAAATAATTCTGAAAATGTAACTGAAGAGACAACTACACATAATAAAATTAAAGAAGAAACAACTACGGAAAATATTAAAGATACGACTACAAAAGAATATGAAATAAGACACACAAATGGCCATTACCGTAATAAATTTATTGCGAAACAATGGCTAGACCCAAATTCTGAAGCGAACAGAAAAAGAAGACTTCAGCTGTTAGCCAAAGGTTTTCGGCGACCAAGCTTTAATTCGAGTTACGTAGAAATTGATAGAAGTAATTCACAAAAAACTGATTAGGCTATTGCTAAAAATGATATAGCGTATACTTCAAGATCATAAAACTTGTATATAATTAAGTACATCCGATTTTCCAGTGACCCACCGACTTTTGTATAATAATAACATGTGCTTATTTGGATACTTGATGATCACAATGTCTAATATGTGGGCACGAAATGTAAATAAAATAACTATTTTACTAACACGTTTTTCTTTACATATCACCCCATCTATAGTCAACAACAAAAGCAATCATAAATTTAAAGCGCCAACGCAAACTCGAGATGCTTTTGAAACTATATAGTTCACAGACTAGAACAGAGATGGCGTTGTGTATTATTTTAATTAGTATTTCAAAAATCAGGACATTTTATTATTATTTACTTACTATTGTAGTTCGTCTTACCACAGATAATATAAATATTTTTACTATACATGCCAGTATATTTGTAATCATATCATATTTTATTTGTTATGTAATAGATATTATTACGTAAACATATACTTAGCTCAGACATCAAATAAAAATAGAATTAATATAATAACCGTCATATTGACAACAGAAAAAAGGGGCAATTTGAAATAAAACAAGATTAATGAAATATAGTAAACTTAAATAAATACATATAATATTTTATTATATGTATTTATTTAAGTGTTACTTTATATAATTAAAATATTCCTACAATAAATCAAGTAACTATACTCATTTATTATTTGTAGGTCAAATAGTACTAGATACTTATTACAAAATAAAATAAAAATTTTCTTTGTAGGTATTCAATTACTCTTTTTCAAAGTTTTCATTCCAGTGTAGTGACCTCAATGCAAGTTAATACTTGCGCCCTTTTATCATGACCTAGTATATCCTACTTCTCGCTCGCACTTCCGTGACCTCAATCACATCGTCTCATCTCACGCATCTCAAGAAAAACCCCGTTACTTTTACCTGTGCAAAAAGGCTCTATCTGCAGAACTTTAAGTACGGACCGACAAGCATTATCTATTTCGCTCGCACATGAAGAAATTGGTATAAGTGTGCGAAAGAGATGCACACAATACAAATCCGGTACCTTAGACCGGTGGTGCAAGTTTTTGACAGTACAACAGACAGTATGTTTTCAACTTTACGAAGTCAAGTCCGTAGAGTAAAACTATGTTTAACTATATTATTTAGTGTTAATTAAATGTAATTTATATATATTATTATATGTTATGTGAAATAAAACGTTTCGAGTGATGTAGTGAAGTTATATCATATATGGAAATTACTAATTTAAGGTAAGAAGTCGTTTATTTGGGCATAACTGTGAAATAACAGTTACTTTGCTTAAGCGGAACTTTCTTTGGTTTAAGTTTGTCAAGGTCATCGTGAACCAATGTCTGATTACTTAATGAATAACAAAACTTAAATTTTATCATATAATAGAAATGTGAGATAAATTTAAATATGTTTTTGATTAACAAAATAATAATTACTTATTGTAATAATAGAATTCTAGCAGTCATAGTAATAGTAATTGCTCTGGATGAGGTAATAGAAGTGCTATTACCTCATTCACAACCTCTATTATTAATATATACCTAGGTATAAATAAATATTTATTATTATTATTATTATTATTCTGTTTCTGAACAAAACATTTACAAAATTTAATGTGAAATAAACATTTAATATGACAACATTTTGTATTTAGACATTTAATAAAGACAGACATTAGTTAACTATATTATTTTATGCATTTGTCTTAATTATTATTAATATATATTAAACCAGCTGTTCCCGCGACTACGTCCGCGCTGAATTTTACTTTATTTTTCTAAAATAAAAGAAATCTAAGTTACTCCTTACCATCAGCTTCCTGCCACAATAAGTCCCGTCAAAATCGGTTCAACCATTTCAGAGATTAGCCGGTGTTCAGTTTGTTTCAGAGATTAGTCACGTGTTTCTTGAAAGAAAGAATTGACGGTTTAACGATTTTCGACAATACAAATATGATTCTACACTTCTTCTCTATATAAACTAACTATAAATGTGCGAAATTTCATACTCTACAGTCCGCGCAATTTTTGTAAAAATCGGCGAAACGGCTTGACCGATTTTTTAGACAATTTTTTTATCTAACGTAGCATTAAAAAATACAACCCCAAATTTTCACCCTTCTACCATCAACCCCCTATATTTTAATAGCGATTTTAATTAATGTTTTCGGAGTCAGCTAGTAGATATATAAATTCATATAGTCAATAGTTTTAATGAATTTATATAGGTACAATGTTGACGTTGCAAGATCTTGTCATTTGAAGGCCCTTCCACTTGCTTAGCCGTTAGTTACAACACATGTAAACAAACGTCAGACAGCATTTCTGCATATATCAAGCTCTGTGAAATTGTGTCTACTAAGTAAACTGGTCACGCTGGCTGTATAATACCTACCTGACCTACTATAGCTGATATCCCTGGCGATTTTCATTCTAGAGTTTTATCACTTTGAAAATACACATTTCAATTTACAAATAATTATAGTTACCTTTAAACTTTCGTGTTTAATATACATTATTTAAATTATTAACCGGGTCTTAACACGAATATTTTATGGCAAATAAAGGTATTTACCTCTAGTAGTGATCACGGCTAGTGCAACCATTATAATATATACCTTTACGGGCGAGGGAATTGTTAGTAATTTTTTTTACTACACTAATGTAGACCGCAGCTGGCCTTTACAGCTTCGCAGGACAATAGGGAGCGAGTGCAGATGGCACTCCAAACCCGCAGGACTTATGGAGAAACTGAAGGCCACGTCCCGCCTGACGGTACTCCAAAGTGCGTAGGACTTACGGTTGAAGGCAAAATCCTGGCTAACAAATACGACTTTGATCTGAGGACACCGCTAGGGGTTGCAACCTCGGCTCAGATCGTCGTAATTGCATCCCTGTTTGAAATGGACGGGGGATCGATCAGAGGAGCGACCCTAGTAAACCCTAGATTTTTTATTAGTGGTCCAATACTACTAACAAACATCTATTTCACCTCAGAAACTTTTTCGTTTAAGATATGATGAGAACAGATTCTCATCATATCAATTCGTGTTATAGAAAAATCCCAGAGGATTTTTCTATAACACGAATTCTTGAGAATTCTGTTTATCTTATGTCACTAAGATATTACTCATTTCTCTATTGACATACACAAATGAAAGTTTGAAGCCGTATTCAAAAATGGAGTCATATGACTCAACTGTTTAACATATTGACTTATTGTGCTACCCCGACAACAATGAGTTAGTGTTTAGATTCGGGTCACCGCAGGCGTACATGCAGATAACTTATTTTTTTCTATTTTATAAACTGGTCACCAGGCTTCGTAATGGTAATTCGTAATTTAATAAAAACTAGTGGTCGCCCAGTGGTACAAATTCGGCCATAATTTTAAAATTGGCATCTCAGATGGTCGAAAGATTTTGCACACCGAATTTCCAATTGTCGCAAGTTCTATTACTCGCACGGTATAAACACTTGTTTCAGTCTGGGTGTTTTCTATTGTATTTACAGAAAAATACTTATCCACATACTTATATCAGTTCCCTAGTGCCCATAACACAAGTTCTGCATAGCTTAGGACTAGATGGCATGATCATCTGCTTCTTCCTTATCCGATTCCTTTGGCTCCAAAGTCCGACTCCAAAGTCGGCGTAATATATTTGTCTCTTCCATTCACCTCTCTTCGCAGTCGTCTCGTTATTTACTCCCTTTCTTACCATATCATCTTTCACACAATCCATCCATCTATTTCGGCCTTCCTCTGCCGTTATAACCATCCACATTCATATGTAACACCTTTCTTATAATATTATATTCATTCTTGTTGGGACCAGTTGGCGCTGTGTGAATTGCTCTGAATTACATATATTGTTTTGTTCCTATCATACGACGAGTACTCATAGCTAATTTATCATCAGTTCAAAGAACGTGGATATATATGTATATATGTATGTACCATAACGAAAGCTGTATTATTAATCGAATCATTTAGCATAGGTGTAAACAACGCCCAATGTTTCCCGCCAAGAAAACTGTTACGCCGTGCATCACCAGTAATTATCACTGTTCCCACGAGCATTGTGATAGTTCAGTGACTTGCGTCGTGATGTATATACCATTGTTGCTTCTAAACACTGCAGCGTAGAAGTTATGCCTTTCAAATCTTTGTTGTACAAAACAGCTCGGCTATTTTATTCACAACTAAGCTGTTTTCCCTGTATTCCTTTAGTTTTCTTACGATGAAATATGGAGTTTGTATAATATATCTTCAGGTTTTTCGTTAAGATCCATTCAGCTGTTTGGTAGAGAAAAGGTAGCAAATAAACAGACAATTCTGCATATATAATATTAGTATGTATATTTATATAATAACCCAGAATTATTAACACAGCACTATCTAGTCCCGAGCTAAGCACAGCTGGTGTTATGGGTACTAGACAATTCATACTCAGATACCTTTTATACAATAGATTTTTTTAGATACCTTTGATATAAACACCTAAACCGATATAAACCATCATAATCATAAATACAAATATACCGTGCCAGGAATCGAACCCGCGACCACAGGAAGTAAAGCTGTGTGCTCAATCGGTAGGCCACTGAAGTCGTCATAAGTAGTTATGTTTTTTTTTTATTGTAATGAAATTTAATTGGCCTTATTCATACGAGGATCGAAATTACAAAGGCCTGAGGTCAGGTTCGAACCCCCAGCGGTGCCCTCAGACCAAAGTCGTATCTGTGGACTTTGGAGTGACATCTGCACTTCGCTATTGTTCGGTAAGGCTATAAAGACCAGCTGCGGCCTATAGAATTTAAATAGTTCGTAAAGAGAAACTACTGACATCACGTTGTCACGCGACGTCTATGGTATGCATCAGGGATATTATAAATAGGAAATTTCGGATACGGATAGGTTTCGGATATAGGAATGATTGGTACACCGGATACGGATACGGATGCAGATGTGAAATTATTTCGAATTATCCGTTAGCTTCGGATAATTTCGGTTACGGATATGAATACATTTTTAAAGAATTTCAAAAGTAAAATACAAATATAGTACATAAAATTGTTACATAACGTGTCTCAATTAGGCTTCGCCACTATCCTATATTA